GGGGGGCAGCACCCTCCAAGGGAGCCCAAGCCCTAAGCTGAGAGCACTGAACCCATACTGGGAACACTGGGTGAGGAAGAGCCACCCACCAGCAAGGTGCTGGGGCCCCGGGACTCGGGGGTTCAAATAAAGACGGAGACAGCCAGATCCATTAACCAAAATATCCTCCAGTTTCTATTCACAAGGAAAAGCTCCAGTCCATCTTTTTATTATTTTTTTTTTTGAAAAATTTCCTGACGTTACAGAACTAAACTGAAATGTTTCTCTTCCACTCTTACATTTCATGACAAACAGAAACTTCATGAGCCGAAAAAAGAGGGTGGGGGGAAGGGGAAGGGGGGAGAGAGAGAGAGAAAGAGAGAAAGAGAGAGAGAAGCTTTATAAAACTAAGATCTGGGGCTCAGCGTTTAACAGCTGAACAGAGAAAGGAATTAAAATGCTGTAATTAAAAAAAAAAACCCAAAACGAAAAACAAAACCTCATGAGTGGCCGCGGAGAGCAATGGAGGAACCGAAAATTTACAAACTAGTTAAAACCTGGGGCTGGCTGCTAAGGGACTACACAGATGGATGGTGAAGTGAGGCCGAGGGTCCGCGGGGCCGCGTCGGGGCCCTAGCTGCTTCCCATGCCCCCGGTCTCCGAGGAGAGCCTGCAACGAAGAAAAGGGCGTCAGAGCGGGCGCCAGCCCGGTTGGGAAGGGAGCAAGAGGAAGGAGGGGGAGAGGAAGGTCTCCGCTGTCCCGCGACATGGAGGGGAGGGATGCTGGCAGCACCAGCAAGTGGGTGATGGCCCCAGCGTGGGGGCTCGGGCTGTCCCCCTCCCTCCCCGCGGCCTGGGTCCCGCCAGGAGAGGAGAAGGGACGAGGTTTGGGAGGGAAAAGGATGGGTTTTGCTTCACGTGCGGCAGGGAGGCGAGCAGGGCTTCCCCGTCGTCCCCCAAAAGGGAGCTGCGTGGCTCCTCCCCAACCCAGCACGAGCAGAGCCAGCCCACCGCACCACGGGGAAGCGGTGACGCGCAGCGGCTCCGGGAGCAAGCTTTTGGGGGTGGGGGGCACCCAGGGAGCAGCAGGGAAGGGGGACCTCGAGGTGGTCACAGCACCCCAGGAGCAGGAAAGCGGGAACGGAGCAGCAATCCCTGCGGGGAAGGGAGCAAGGCCAGGCCCAAGGACCCCCAGCAGGAGCACAGATGGGAGCAGAGGGAGGGGGACGCGGTGCAACAGGGTCCCCGAGCAAGCAGTTCGGGGGGGGGG